CTATTTACTCTAAGTCCAATCTGAATGTTAGTAGATTAGATTTGAAGAGTTTTTGTGTGGAAAAACATTTTGAAATATGTGGCACTTTATGGAATGATAAAATTTTGGGCACAACAATTATTTTAACTTGTTATCGATTTCCTAAGGGAGATCTCAACATATTTTTTGATGGTATAAACAATGTTTTAGAATTTTTATATAAGCCTACTCTTAGCATTGTTTTGTGTGGAGATTTTAATATTGATGTACGCTCGAAAATTACTAAAGATTTTAACAATTTTAAAAATATTCTACTTGCCTTTGACTTGCGTCCGATGGTCGAGTGGCCTACAAGGGTTACAATGAATACTTGTACTACTATTGACAACATTTTCTCAAATATGAATAGTGCTAATGTGATTTGTGTTGTAGATAACAACTTTTCCGACCACAAAACTGTTTTGTTTGAAATGGGTAACAAATGTAAGACTAATATGCCAAAACACCGTCAGTGTAAAAGAATGTTTTCTGATATTTCTATTAATAATTTTTGTCTAGCATTGAGGGAAGAATCGTGGCATGATTTGTATCTCATAAATTGTTTCGATAATGCCTTTGATTGTTTTTACAGAGTCTTCTTGTATCATTTTAATAATTATTTTCCATCAAAAACAATATTCAGTAATAGGGGGAATCGCAGTAAAAGCTGGATTACCGATGAGGTTAAATTATCGAGTTTAAAATTAAGGGATCTGTATAATTTGACACTTGCTAGTGCTGAATTTGTGGACTTGTATAAAATCGCAAAAAGAAAGCATACCTCCTTAGTTAATACAGCTAAGAGGAATTTTTATCAAAATAAAATTATTAATTCCAATCATATTTCTAAAACAACTTGGGATGTTGTAAAAGAATTATCAAATAAGTATAGGAGCAACGGGAATATTAATTTGTCATATAATGGAAAATTATACGAAGAAACCCAAAGCAGTCGCAAACATTTTTAATTCATTTTTTTTAGAAACTCCTCTAAAAATTGTTAATGATATATGCTCAAGAACTGAGTATCCCAGTCTTGATTGTAACAATTTTTCTATCCCCATTAACCCTAATTCCATTTTTCTCGAGCCTTTTGTTTCTAAAGAAATGCTGCTATTATTAAATAATAAATTGAAGAATAAGCATTCCTATGGGTCGGACGAGATACCCATGTTTCTGTTGAAAAAAGTATTAGACATCATTATTGAACCAATCACTTACCTCGTGAATTTATCTTTCTTGGCTGGTGAGTTTCCCAAGATCTTAAAAACCGGAAAAGTCGTACCTATTTTTAAAAAACGGGACCCTAAATGTGTAGAAAATTATAGACCCGTGGCTGTCTCGTGTGTATTTTCTACAATATTTGAATATTGCTATCTGGATCGTCTATTGAGTTTCATTGGAAGGCACAAAGTGTTTTCAGATAAGCAACATGGTATCATGGTAAGCACTGCTATCTACTCCTTTTATAACGAAATGATTAACTTTATGGAGGCAGTCGAGTGCCCTGTTGGGATCTTTTGCGACCTCAGCAGGGCATTCGACTGTGTTAATCACAAGTTGTTGTGTAAACTTGAAATGTGCGGTGTGCGCGGAGTGGCCCATAAGTGGATTGCTTCTTTTTTAACGCACAGAAAGCAGTATATTCATTTAAACTTTATGAATGATTTAGGAACCAATAACATTAAGTCGGAATACGGAGAAGTAAACGTGGGGGTTCCACAAGGCTCTGTGTTGGGTCCTATCCTATTTCTACTATATACAAATGAACTCGATACTTTGATGTCCAACGTTTTCCTCGTTATGTATGCGGATGATACGTCTATGCTCATTTCAGATGCCAACGATANTTATATATGGATTTTAGCAAAGCATTTGACCAGGTTGATCACTACGTGTTACTTGCTAAACTTGATAGTATTGGGTTATCAAATATTTTTGTTAATTTTATTAAATCGTACCTAACAGAGAGACAACAGTTTGTTAAGTGTGAGGGTTTCACTTCGTCAAAATTTAAAGTTACTTCTGGCGTTCCACAAGGTTCGAATTTAGGGCCCTTACTGTTTCTCTTGTTTGTTAATGATTTACCGAATAGTATATCTTGTAATAATCTTCTTTTTGCAGATGATTTAAAGATTTTTACAAGTATTGAGAATGAGGAAAATTGTAGATATTTGCAGAATCAAGCCAACTTAATTGGCAAATGGTGTAATTCAAATCGTTTAATGTTAAATATAAACAAATGTTATGTAGTATCATTTTCCAGGAAAAAACAAATTTATAATTATGATTATACACTTAATGATATTACAATCTCAAGAAGTGATTGCATAAAAGATTTAGGCATCTCCTTTGACTCTAATCTTACCTTTGTTACTCAGGTTAATCATTTAGTTAGTAATGCCAATAGGACTTTAGGTTTTATATTAAAGAACTGCAAAGATTTTAGAAATATTAGCACCTTTTTGTATTATTAATTTTGTATTATACCTTGGTTAGGAGTAAACTTGAGTATGGATCAATTATTTGGTTCCCAATTTATCAGTGTCACATTGATAGTATAGAATCTGTTCAGAGGCGGTTTTTAAAATACATTTCTTTTAAGGAAGATGGCATCTATCCCGCNAAATTTATTATTATTATTATTATTATTAAGTAGCAGCTTAATTGTATGAATAACGTTTTCCTCAACAAATTCTAAATATGGAAGAAAATCTCCTTATAAGTACAAAGCGAGTTGGAGTGTCCCAATCAACAGTGCGATGCATAATTTACGTGTCTCAAATGTATTTCTAATCATGTACAGCGTATACTACTCAAGAATTAGCATCAGTGGATTATCCGTTACGACTTATATTTTATGAACGGTTGTTACAATAAAATGTATATAGCTTCATTTACAGAACTGTAGATGACGCTATGTACGTTCATAATAAATGGGATAAACAATACATATCTATGTAAAATCAGCATGCAGTTCAACTTCCAGCATCGTTTTTCTTTGAATGTTTGGGCAAGGATTGTCTACGATCGAGTAAAAATTTACCAAACCGAATGGATGGTTTGTGGTACCGCGAAATTCTTCGAAATTTGTCGGTTTATTCTTCGATCTGTCTAGAAATGATCTTGATCTTCCATTTTCGACAAAGTATTTAAGATTACATTAATGAAGCTCAAGTGGCATTGATACTGAGGTCTTCTATTCTTTTTAATGTAAAAAATGAAGTGTATCGGATTGACGTGGAAGTAGTTATATTGCTGATTTATGGGAACATATTACAGCTAATGCCAATTAATTTACGACTCATTACATTTAATAATAATTGAAATTAATAGTAATAATAGAAGCAATAATTAATTTCATTGTGATAAAACTTCCAGTGAGGTATTACACTGGACCAAATTCTATAGTAGGATCGTATTCGATGCAAAGTAGAGCAAAAAGTTGTCGGTCTTTTATCAAAGGAAAATCGTGTCATCAATTTTAGGAGGCGTAAGGTAAATCATTTCAAATTTAAAATGAAATTCAATGTAAAATCTGAAATACCGCTGCATACGCACTGTGTTCTGGTAGTAGCTGTTGTCGCCCAGGTGCATCGAGTGTACGAACTGGTCGGTTATACGTCAAATACTAACTTGGCGAGCTTTGCCGTCAATTAGAGAGTGCTTCCAAAAAACAAGTAAACAACAGTGGCGCATACAGAGGTAAAATGTAGTACATATGTTGATTTTAGGAAACAAATTGGATTTATAATAAATTACATTTAAAATAAATAGTTTATGAGAATAAAGGAATTTTTGTAGGAACAAGGGTGTCAGACCTGAACTGATCCCCTCGTCCCTTCATAATGTATAAAGAAATTATTCAATTTGTAAAACCCTTAAAAGCGTACTTCATTGGTTCCCTTGACAGGCACTGATTTATTACTTTGCATCGAATATGATCCTACTATAGTGTCCTTTTTGATTTCTTTTTTACATTGTGGTAGTTGTATGAATTTATTGTACGTACCTCCCATAATTTTTTGATAAGTTGTGAATCAATAGTAGCGTAATAGCCTAACTGCTATATAATATTTTTCAAATATTAGTAAGATATATCATAAACTGAGGATGTTTTTCCACTATTTGATTAAAAATAAAATAATTTTAAAGTAAACAAGTGGCCTCGACTCAAAAACCTACACCATATAGGAGTAAAATTGACTTGCAAATTATTTTACGTTCACAAAAATATCAAATTTCAAATTGTAAATCTTTTTAATCGATGGGAAGTCCTTGAAACAGAATTATCAATTTCTTGAAATTTTTGTATATACAGAGTGAATCTTAGATATGTGAATATAATTTAAATAGCGATATAGTGTGGTGTAGAATATGTCATTAATAGATTTTTGCAAAAAGTTAAATTTAAAATAAATATGCAGGATTTTTTAATATAAGACTTGTTGAGAACCGCTGACTTCTCTCTAGTATTTACGCGTAACATAATTTATCTATTTTGAATTATACAATGTTTTCTGTCTAGTTATGAAATGTAGAATCGTTGATATTGCAATGTTTGTTTGTTATACAGAACATTGAACAAATAAAGACGGATACATTTTTGCATTAAAAAGGTATTTAATAACCTTTCCGGCGATTAAATATTTTTAACACAGTTAGTAAGCTGGTAAAACATTATTTAATTATAACAGCAATTATCTGCAAAATAACTCACACTAATGGCATATTTGTACAAACAAGCTTTGGTTCGTGGTAAGCAGCGGTGTGAATTTGTATATTTACATATAGTAGCAGTTAACGTGTGTTATGTTAGGCGGGTGTAAAATTGTTTACTTACAGGGAAATTATGGTCCTATAAACATTTTTACACCAACCATTAGGTGGGAACAAGAATAAGGAAAAGCAACGGTGAGAAACAGTGTACAACAAAAAGTGTTCTACGAGAATTAGGTGGGTAATGGGCGACACGTCTTTACCTCATTGCAATAATTGTCGATACTGCATGGTACATTTGGTTTTTTCTGTATTTAAAAATATAAACAAACATCAATTACATGTCAACAACACTACAACAAAAACATAGAAGCAGATATAAAGGAGTTATCAATATTGCCACCGTCTGGACTATGAATGGTTTCAAATGACATTTCCATTTGTTTACATAAGTTTTTATTGTAAAAATTAAACTGTACAGAAGGTTTTTGAGATCTTTTTAATTTTACTGTAAATAAATAAAACTTGTCAATTTATTCATCTATTGATTTTGTGTTATTCTGGGCTAGTAATGTTTACCCGGGCATATTAGAAGTCCATCGTCCTTTAATAATAATTACTTTGTTAATAGTATACCTTCTATAAATTCCAGTAACAATAATTTTATTTCTAATACCAACACTAATCAAATTCTTGCAAAAGTTACTGTTAAATTTCAATTTACAGAAGTAACAGAAGGATCTGTTGAAAATATATTGTCACAGATTAAATCAAATGCTACTGGCACAGACGACATAAAGATTCAAAATGATTTTATTAAATACACCCATTCTTACTGTAATCTTTCTCCCCCTACCACGCGCATCAACGTGTAGAGCGGAGCAAGCATTTTTAGAGACCCAACAAAATTAAGTTTACTGTAAAACAAATAAAAATATTCAACTACAACATGTGTAAATTTCAGACCCTAATATTAATAAATGAGGTCGTAGCAATTTTTTTTTTGTTGGTGGTAGGACAACATTTTTATTTTAAATTCGTGAAAAAATGTCAGCACTCAAATGGCAATAATTCCGATTGAATTTCAACGATAAGAAAAAGATCTACATTTTTCATCCCGAAAAAAGAAGTCAAAGTTCCAGTAGATTTTTCGCATATTTCCAATTATTTTGCAATACGCTCACAATTTGCACAGAAAATTACAACTCTTAGAAAAAATTTTTAAGCCAAGATGGGTCACGTAAGTGTATTACTGATGTATGATTTATTGAGACTTGAAAAAATGTCTTTTTTTTCGAAAACTCAATATTTGCAAAAACTATCAAAAATTTTGCAATATTACAAAAATGCGTTTATTCTACATATTCTGAAAGTTTCATAAAGGAATCTTTTTTCGTTTTAAAAATATAGTAATTTTAAGAAACTGCGATTTTTAGCAATTTTTTTGGAATAACTGTTAATTTTTTAGTTCTACAATATTTAGGTTTTCTTTTAATTGAAAAAACTGTTTTTTTGCGAACTTTGGACGCCATTTTGAAAATGAAGCCCTAACATTCAGCTGGGGTAAAGTAGTTCATTCCATTCTACAGAATTTTTCCTAATTTCTTCGTGTCTTTTTCTACTGAACTAAATTTTGGCAAAAAACCGAGGTATTTTCAACAATTTGACTGGACCACTGGTTATATAACACATATTATCAACAGCTGTCTTCTATCAGCTAAGTTTCCACCACTTTGGAAAAATATAAATACATATTTTACATATACCAAAAGTAAATAATCCAACTCAAATGAATCAATTTCGACCAATTAGTATTTTGCCTGCTATCCAAAGTATTGGAGAGAGTTGTGTATAAACAACTTATTGAATATTTTTGCAACAATAAAGTTCTACCTCCTACGCAATCGGGTTTTCGTTCATTACATAGTTACACGTTACCGATGATATAATTGGAGCTTTAGACAATAAATTAAATACTGCTTAGTACTATTGGATTATAGTACTGCCTTTGACACATTAGAATCACATGATCCTTTTTTGAAGCTTAAGTACTTATTAAATAATGCATTAACATTTATGGTCGGTTACTTAAAGGTGTACTTCAGGGAAGAATTTTGGGGCCGTGTCTTTTTGCTATCTTCAGTGCCGACTTTTTTAAATTCTTTTTGTTATGTCCGATTAAAATGAGTAGCTCTGCTATATTATCTCGCCGCCATTTATATAATTGTATTTTTGTATAAATAAATTATTGTTCAGCATAAAAAATAAAGACATAATATTATTATTAATGGGTATGTATAATTAACTAATGTTATCTCAGGGTGAAATCAAAATGGTAGAGTTGGTCGAAATACAACGAAGCAAATATATTCAAGTACTTAGCAGAAAAGGAGTGAAAATTATGAAAGATCTAGAAGTTACAGCTTGAACATAATATGTATTCCTATCCTATAGAAGTGTCAATATCTTTTAGGTTTTTATGTTATATATTATAATATCTACAAATGTAGGTTTTTATAAACCTGTCCACATATACCGAAATGAATAACTACTATAAAAGATTTTCCAACTATCGTTATATCGAAAATAATATAAAAATTAGGTAATTTTTTTTATATTATTCTTTAATATCACCTAAACTAAAATTTCTATTTTCTTATTATTTCAGTATGCTGTATAAAAAGTTTCTGGTTTTCCTAAACAGTTAAAGTGAAAGGCCAATACATTTGGAACGTATAGTAATTCTCTTTCTTTCTTCTCCTTTGGCGTGCAAATTAATAGGAGCACTTATAGTTTGTAGCATGAGAAATGTTAAATAATATTATTCCATTAACTGAATTGATTTTCAAGATCAGTTAATAGTTCTAGTTCCAGTTCTAGTTACACAAGTTAATTTACAAAAATACGACTGCAAATACAGTTTTATTACTTTCATAGGACTGTCTATCAAAGAGAATACAAAATCTGATAGCTACTAAAGTTTATTGTATTTTAAGAGATATGGTTTTATCTCAGACAACTACAATTTGTTCACTTTGAAAAGGATATTGTTAAGGTTTTTATCTATCTATCTCCATAGTATAATTTTGACTTTAGTAAATAATTGCTTCTGTAATTAATTCAAGATTATGATTCATTCGTCCATATTATCACGTAGAGGCGTATGTGTATATCCATTTCTTGGATTATACGCCCCTACGTGATAAGAGGGACGAATACAGGGGGTATTTAAAAAGTAAATAGAATATTCTAAAAAATTTAAAAAAAGTCATACGTCCGGAGATGCTTATGAAACATAGGGTGTCAACGTTTTCGTAAAAAAATATCTGTATAGGTTTATCTTCTTCAAACGGTTTGACCAAAACAATTCAAATCTGGTGGATTCAGTGTAAACGTTGGATATGATAGGCGTACTTAAACTTCTAAACAAGAGGATCCCTAGCAGCTGCATGAGCCACATCCAACTTATGTTAGTTTCAGAGTTTTCTCTCGCCTCCTCCAAAATTTGCTCTTTTAGCTCGGATGTGGAAACAGATCTAGGTCTTCCAGAGCCAAATTTTTCAATGGAGACTCTAATAAAGTCTGGTGGAAGGTAGAAGGCAGAAGGCCATTAGAATAAATCTCAATGTACAGACGACAACTTTCCAACCTTTAAAAATGACATGTCCGTATACAGGGTGTTTCCTAATGTCGTGAAAAAATCTAGGGGTATATTATGAGACTAAAATTAAGCGTCATCTCGCACTTGGGATATTTTTAAATGTTTCTGAACGTTTTTGGAAATCTTTTAAAGTAATTTCATTTAGGTTGAGAACAGGCTCCGTCACCAAGACCATACACATAAGCCATATACGAAATTTCAGCATTTGTGTAAGTGGCCTTAATAGTAGTTGTGTACTTAGTTTTTCGTATTTGAAAAAGAAATCTGATATTTTATGAAAACTTGATTTCCATTTTTCAGAAATGAAACATTTATGGACATATATTCATCAGAACTTTTTTCTTATTTTTGAACTCTTTGTGTAGTTCTTAATCCACGAGGCATTATTCTGTATACATACAATTTAATAGTGATACCAAATCATGACGTTATGAAGAAATGCATTTTACTAATGAAATATTTATATACAATATTTTACAGTTTCTGTGCAGTTTATGACATGTGTAAGGTATATCTGCTTCTACGTTATTAAATAGATTTATTGAACAAGAAACAATTGGAGTCACAATTAAGTTAAATTACATCATACAAATCACTTAACAAAGATGGTTAGAAAGTAATAAGAAACATGTTAGTAAAACAGAATTTATATGAGTGCGAAAATATGTACTTACTTTTCCGGCTCCGGAGGAGGAGTTTTCAAGCTTTTAAAAGCTTTTAACCATTTATTTTTCATACTACCCGTCGACGCGGACGACATTTTCCTCTCGCGACCCGCCATCTCGCCTTCCAATTTACTCGAAAACAGTTCTTTCTGCAACAAAATAATAAATTATCATTAGCTAACAGTATCAGAAGGTTATAAATCAAATTATATCTGAATGTGGTGGTGAAATTGTACGGTAAACATTCTAATACCTAAGCACTAAAAATCTTACCAAAGTTGAAAAATGTTTGGTAAATTCTGTAATTTCAGTAAAAGAAAAATCCTTAATAGTTACTTACGATGTCAGAGAAATTATGTAATAAATAAAAGGGGCAATAAATAAGAAGGGGCATTCTAATATTCCGGGTGTAATGAAATTCAATGATATTCAGTATGATAATTCTCAAGCTATTGCTGAAGGATTTGCTGATTATTTTCGTAGTGTTTATGTGACACCTGATTTTAATTATGAAACATTTAATATGGAGCACAGTTTTAACAGGAATATTAATATACCAATAATTACCGAGGTAGATTTTCTCAACGCCCTTAAAAAACTTAAAAATAAAATGACATCTGGTACAGATTTTATACCTAGCTTTGTTGTGAAGGACTGTGGGCAGGTCTTAGTAGTTCCTTTGCTATTTATATTCAATCTCTCTTTATCTACAGCAACATATCCAGATGTATGGAAAGTAGCGCGCATATGTCCGGTATTAAAAAAAGGTGATCCATCTATAATATCTAATTATAGGCCTGTTTCAATTTTATGTAATTTTTCAAAACTATTTGAAATAATACTATATGAACATATTTACGCTAATACCAAAGATATTTTCTCCCAGAGTCAACATGGATTTGTAAATAAACGTTCTTGTGTGTCAAACTTGGCATGCATTTCTCAATACATATGTGAGAATATTGATCACCAAGGGCAAATT